CCAAGATTCGAACCCCCAGGGTTAGCTGACCCCAGGCTCTGGCTCTCTGGTCATGATCCCAGCAGCCGCCAGGCACAGCCAGCACCCTGGCACCCCCACCCCAGCGGCCCCACAGCTGGACCCCCAAGGCCCCGCCACGCCAGCCTCACCAGAGCTCCTGGGCCTCCCGCCGGGCCCCCAGTGGCCCCACAGCTGGACCCCCAAGGCCCCGCCACGCCAGCCTCACCAGAGCTCCTGGGCCTCCCGCCGGGCCTGCAGCCGTGCACGCTCCACCGTCAGCTCCTCGGAGATTTCTTCGTAGGGCTTGTCGCCAGGGCCCTCGCCCAGGACCCAGACCCAGACCTCGCCGTCCGCTCCCAGAAGCCACTGCACACGCTTGTCACTCGCTGACCCGGACAGGGGAGACCAGGACGATTCCAGTTAGGAGGGTGGCCAGGCCGCCTGGGCAAACCTGCGCACCACCCTCTGGAGAGCTGTCATCCGCAGAAGGGACCCACTGGGACAGGTTGTGTGCAAGTCCAGGACTGTCCTGTTCCACCCCACCCCGCCCAGGGCAGCTCCAGGACAGCCTGGCAGCCAGGGCAGCCTCCAGGGCCCTGTCCCGAGGCCTTTGGCAGAGAGAACCCCTGTGTGCCCAGCACTCTCCAAGGGTAGACCTCTCCAGTGGCCAGGCCTAGCCCCCCACCCGCCACCCTGCTGCTGCTGCTGGAAATGCAGGTTTAGGGGGGGGCACAAGACGCAGCAGCCAGCGCCCTGAGCCTTCACAACCTGCACCCAATGCCCCAGCCGGAAACACACCGAGCCGCGTCCAGCGGCTGACATCTTCGCGCCCATCAGAGCAGAAGCCCTGACTCTCACGGTGCGATGCACCTAGACCGGGTCCGCCGGGACGGGTGGGAACTGCGCGACTTCGTCTAGCAGCTGCACCACGACTAACGCTAGGCCAGTCGGACAGCCGGACACCCCCGTGGAGGACAGACGCGGGCAAAATGTCAGGCCAGGTAGGACTCACGGACAGACACACAAGTCCTGGGCTTTGCCTCCCAGGGGAGAGGCTGGGAGACAGCGCCAGCAGTGAGCGGTGGTGGCCGATGGCTGTGCTTGGCCGGTCGTGAGAGGGAGAGAGGAGTGAGAGCCGAGCCCTGAAGGTGGGAAGGGAAGGGGGTCCGGAGAACGCAGGGACACGGGGCTTCGCGGGCTAACACCGTCGTGCCTTCCGGGACCCAAACTTCAAATATGTGATTTGTAAAGGTTTCGCATGACAGAGACCAGTAAAACCTCACTTTTCAAGAACTTATTATTGCTTCTTTATTTTGCTAGAGGGCACATGTGCTCGGCAGAGAGAGGCAGAGACGGGGCTGGAGAGATGGCGTGTGCTCAGGCACGGTGCACCATAGGCCTGTTCCAGCTCTCTGTCCCCCAGGTTTGGGGTTCACATGCACATGCACTGCCGTGTTTTCAAGCCTCCGGGGCTAGGATTTGAAACTGTGTTCGCCCTGTGGGTTCAAGCTCCCTTAACCACTAGGCCCTGACCGACACGGAGGCCGCAGCTGAACACAGGGTGGAGACACCGTGTGACACAGACACATCAAAGCAGGTGCCAACCCCTCGCAGAACCGAACCCCTGCGAGCTGGCCAGGGCCAGTGCCGCGACATTCAAAGGAAGAAGGACAAAGTGCCCGCCCATGCCTGCCAGCCCTCGTCCACCCTCACCCAGCCCAAGCTGTCTTGCGACAGGGGAGTTTCTACCCAGCCGGGGCAGCAGAAATGTCACGAGTCACACGTGACACTGCTCTCCCGGCACGGAGACAAGGCGGGTGTGGCCAAGGTCACAGCAGAGGTCACCTCTCCAAAGCCCAGGGGCGTTCCTTGGGGATGCCCCTCATCGGCTCTCCTACAGCCTCCCTCCTGCTGAGGAGGAAGAGGAGCCTCCCGGACACTGCCCTGCTGGGCGGGAAGCAGAAGGGGATCCTGGGGACCTGTCGGGCAGTCGATTACACCCCACCCACTGCGGCGCCCTGGACCTCTTACCACTCGACCAAGGAAGAGCCCTCAGGGCCCACGGCTCCGGGCCAGCCCGGCAGGACAGCAGGGAGTTCCATCTTACATGACTGACCACAGTTCAGATCCTAGCTGCACCAGCTTGAGGGACTTCCCGAGCTGGGGACACGTGCCTGAAATCCCGACCGAGGGCAGAGGCAGGGAAACAGAGCCCGCGGCGTGCATTCTGTCTCTCCCTGTCTCTGTCTGTCCCTGTCTCTCTCTGTCTGGCAAGTGCACATGCCATGGCAACAAAAGGAAAGGGCTTAAAAAAAAAGGAAAGGGCTTCAGTGCTTCACTATGAAGGAAGTTCTGTAATGACTTATTGAATGAAATGTGTTAACACGGGGCCAGCAGGTGGCGGAGTGGGTAAGGGCGCTGGACTCCCACATGGCGGACCATGGTTCAAATCCTGGACCTGGTGGCTTGCTTTCTCACTCTCTCTCTCTCACTCTGTTCCTCTGTGGTCAAATTAAGAGATAGAAATAAATAAATTAAGGTAAATAAAATAAATTTTTAAAAAATGTGGTCACACAATGAAAGCTGTGGTCGGTTAAGAGCTATTAGTGGTGTTCCCTGTTCCTCCAGGCACCCACACCCCAAATCGGAAAACAGACCCAGAGCAGCAGGCCCCAATCCCGCCCGCAGTCGCTGGAGCACGTGAGCAGGACACCGCTGCTGAAGCCCGAAGGCAGTCGGCGGAGTCAGGAAACACCTCCCAGCTCCACTGTTCACAGAAAACCCACATTTAGAAAGGCAAGTAACGGAGTGGGCGACAGGAGGCCACGCCAAACACGGAAGGGGAACAGAGGCTAGTGGGGCTGGCGGGTAGAGGAACGCCACGCTGGACAAAACGGAGAAGGTCACATGGTGACAACAGACACGGGCCCCAAGAAAACAGGCGTGAGCTTCATTATAGCGTGGAGCTGACTGCGCGGCGCCCAGCAGAGCCAGGAGAGCTGGGTCCCGCCACGCTGCGGGGGTCCCACCACACTGTGGGGGGGCTCCTTCTCAGCTCACACGTCAGAGCGTCAAGTAGATTTTAAAAGGCCACAGAAGATTCGCATAACATAGTCAACAGACTCTATCCAATTACAGAACTGTATTTCTAAGTATTAGGAAAATACTTTTCTTTTGATCTTGCAATTATGAGAAAAATTTGACAGACCCTATTCTTTAATAATAATTAAACATCAGAAATCAACAAAGTAGCCATTTAAACCAGCCTCTCTGTCCGTAACCGGGGAACCGCGTCCTGATTGCCTGTGGTTCTCAGAGGAGTCCCACGGATCCCTGTAGAGTGGCACGTGGTGGGAACACGTACCCGGCTGCCAGCGACTGCATGGGAGAGCTGCAGCTTGGAGAGCTTCTTTCCGATGTCCCTTTGAAGAACAACTCTCCTCCAGACACATGACTCATGCATGCAAAATGACAAGGACAGTACGCAGGGTTACAGGAAACACCTCCACACGGGAGTGCAGGCCGTGGGAGGGGCCCGTGGCCTGCTGGGACCCCACAGAGGATGGTCACTGAGCGTGACCGTGGATAGTGGCTTCAGGGGAGACGGACCGCATAGCAGCTGGTGGTGCGGCACGCATGGATGGGGACGGGGACGGGGACGGGGCAGTGCCGGCAGCCTGGGCCCTGTCACACTGGCTGCTGGCCCGCACGGGGCCTGGGCCTTGTCCTGTTGTCTGCTGGCCCGCACGGGGTCTGGGCCCTGTCACACTGGCTGCTGGCCCGCACGGGGCCTGGGCCTTGTCCTGTTGTCTGCTGGCCCGCACGGGGTCTGGGCCCTGTCCTGTTGCCTGCTGGCCCGCACGGGGACTGGGGCCGGGTCGTGTGCCTTGCACAGGGTTTGGGCTCTGCTGCACAGACAGGAAGGTGCTGGTGGCGGACGGTGGGTGAGGGCACCTCTCCCCTCGCTCAGAGAGCTCACTCATGTCCTGGGGAGACGGTCGCAGATGGGCGCAGGGAGAGCGGTCAGCGTGTGGGTGGGCGGTGGGAGGAGGGGGCTCCCCTGGACTGCGGTATGGTGGGGCACACAGCAATGCCGGTCAGGGCATGTGCCGGAGGGAAA